AGGAGACATGGTGATTGAAGAAATCAGGAATTTCGAGGAAGAGCAGTGAATAGATACTGCTGTTTCTCAGTCCAAACAATGTGCTTAGACGACATATTGATTCGATGAAGCTATCATGGATTGTCCTTATTGCAATGGCGTCATTTGGCGATATCATTATCCCTGCGATCTACATGTGACCTCTACCAAATGCGACCAACCGCAATACTATGGAGGCACACTTACACCGATGTCAAAGTGATCCAGACACTTTACGTCATGTACTCTCTGCATGTCCACAATCCCTGCAGATGTACACGTGGCACCATAACAAAGTGTTGGAAGTGGTCATGGACTTAGTCAATACACGCCCAGAGAACCTAAGATCCGTTTCCACAAGGAAGGTGAACGCCCTGTGTGGAAAACCCAAATAACTCCCAATATGACACTACTGGGTCAAGCCCGTGATTGTTTTTTTTAGTTGATCTTAGAACACCTCTACTATTTACGGTACACATCATTCAGACAGACGCACACCCTAACACTGTAGCGTGGCCTGATTCAAAGAAGTGTGTCCTCCTAGTAGAATTAACAGTTCCATAGAAGAAGAACAAGAGGTGAGGCGAACAAGTCGAAAGAAAAACAACTATGAATCGCTGCAATACGACTGTGTGGAAAAAGGGTGAATATGTTATGTGCTACCTATTAAGGTCATTTCCTTCCTTTTGAAGGTGGGCATCACTGGCCGGAGTCTGAAGCATGCTTCACATCGTCTCCAAACCATAGCTCAACAGGCATAGAGTTGAATCTGATCAAGATCCATAATGAAAACGAGTTAACTAAAACCATGCTCGTAACACAATGCTACTACCGACGTGAAACACATGTTTACCTTCCATTCTACGTCAATGAAAACGGCCGCTACGAGCGCGTTGATTATTGGTGTGTATATATATATATATATATATATATATATATATATATATATATATATATATATATATATGAAAAATATCTGGAAAAAAAACAAAAATCCTTAAAATGCGATTATGTTGTTTTAATGTGAATGATATGAATCGCATTTTAAGGATTTTTGTTTTGTTTTTCCAGATATTTTTTCATTCTGTCGGATTTATATCCATTTATATTTGCTTATTAATATATATATATATATATATATATATATATATATATATATATATATATATATATATATACAGAGTTTAAAAAAAGAATGAACCGATTTCATGGCGCATTGCTTAAGTTCTCAAGCATCATCATGGAATCAGTCAGTGACCATTTGAAAGAGTAGTTTTCTAAGTTTTGAATGGCAACAACAGGGGCCCTGTAGTCGCATCGTACCTCCGCCAACGTTCAGTGATTTGATTACCCCCGGAATGGCGAATCCTCGGCAGAAGACGTTCTGCGTTTTCGAGTTCGCGTAAACAAATAAGGTTGTCTCTGAGCAGCTTGCTTTTCTAAAGCAATTCGACATCAATCCGCCCTCTCCTAAGAACATTCGTCGGCGGTTTAAACAGTTTCAAGGGAATGGGTGTCTGTGTAAAGGAAAAAGTCCAAGTTGGCCACAAGTTCCAGAGGAATTAGTGGAGAGAATCCATGTTGCGTTTGAAGGGAGTCCACGGACGTCCACCAATTGAGCTAGCCGTGGGCTTGCGATCTCTCAGTCCACTATATGACGTGTGCTAAGACGACGTCTACACTAGAAAACTTACAGACTACACCTCTTTTAAGCACTTACTTGCTCTTGTGATTGCCCTGCAAGATCCTCAGACTTCACCAACTGTGATTTTTTTTCCTTGTGGGGATACGTCAAAGATCGCGTTACCCATTAACCTCGATGACCTTAAACATCGAATAACAACAGTGATCTAATCAGGGGGACGGTGATATGCTGATACACGTCTGGGAGGAATTCTCTTATCGCATTGATGCTGCCCTGCTGCAGGTGGTGACCACATGGAACACTTGTAAGACAGGAAATAAAAGTGGGTAGGATACTTGTGACTTGGCTGGAGTTTTCTATTGCTTATCCTTATTAAAATATTTCATAATGAAATCTGTTCATTCTTTTGAATAACCCTATATATATATATATATATATATATATATATATATATATATATATATATATATATATATATGCGGAGCCAACTACATAGGGAGAACAACTCAGCGCTTAGACACTAGAATAAAGCAGCACGTTCCTACTAAAATTAGAAAACACACCTTGCCGTTCAGTGGACTCGTCCCGAAAACCATAAGCGAACATCTTTTAAATAGCAGAGATTGTGCCGCCAAATTTAGTGTTGACTGGTTCACCGTGTTGGCCCGGTCACGCTCTGTATTTCACCTGAAGGTTCTGGAGGCACTTTACATCGGGTCCCGCAAGCCTTTTTTGTGCAAACAACGTGAGTGTTTGTTGGGACTCGCTGTCATCTGCCTCTAGTTCCTTCTTGCATATACAAACATATATATATATATATATGCGTAATTTTTTTTCCACCTATTCACATTGTACATTTCTCTGTTTTAATATTAATCTCCCGTGGAAGCCTGACGAGCGGGAGCGAAACCGGTTGCTTCCCCCCCCCCCTTGTTGTTGAGTTTTTTTTTTTATTATTTAATATTGTTTTAATATGTCTTGTAATATTAAATTTTATACTTTTATTTCGATCATTAAATTTTGTACCTACAAATATATATATATATATATATATATATATATATATATATATATATATATATATATATATATATATATACTATTAGAATTATAAAATTAAAATACGTTTAATAATAAATAAATTATAATAATAATTTTATGAAAATAAGTTATAATAATAGTTTTATAAAAATAAATAAATATAAATAATAAATAAATATAAATAAATATAAATATCAATAAATAAATAAAATGCGTTTAAATGCAAAGGGATCAAAGAGAGCAAAATTTTAAAATCAGACCATTGTATAAATTTGATCAAATGCAGTATTAGAAGTTTTAACCCTCTTTGTAGAAAAATGTATATATTAGTAGCGTTATGCTTTATGGATACACATCTATATATATATATATATATATATATATATATATATATATATATATGTAAGCAAATGTAAATGGATATAGATCCGACAGAATGAAGAAAATTTGGAAAAAACAAACAAAAATCCTTAAATGCAATTATGTTGTTTAAAATGAATGAAATGTCGACGTCTGACGTTTCGGTTTAATAAACCTTTTTCAAGACAATATTCATTAAAATACAATTCAGTCCAATTTGACAAAGACGATGGACATAAAAACAAGTCTTATCCAAAACAGATAACTGAAATATATATATATATATATATATATATATATATATATATATATATATATATATATATATAAAGAGAGAGAAAGAGACAGACAGACAGACACAGAGACACAGAGAGTGAGAGTTTTGAGAGACACTGGAAAGCTCACGCCCTGAGCAAGAAG